GGTCCTCGTACACGTGCTGTAAATAACTGAATTATTGATACGTGTTTGAGCGAACACCAACCACCAGTCTTCCTTGTGCCGTTACGTTGAAAACAGTTTTGTATTCAAGTTGGGTTTTTTTTTCCATAGGACGGCTGCTTGAAGTGTTTGGAGCTACATGAGTGTTTTGTTCGTCCTTTGAATGTACTCATGCGTACGGATTATAGGTCGCAGCATATATGTGGGTCACACAGAATACGAACGAGATCAGTAAACTGCGACCGCCTGACCTAGTCTAGCAGACAAGTTGTGGTAGGTCAGATCTGGATGGCAGTTACCATGGAAACGTTTTACGGATCATGTTACAGGTGTAGCTACAGACTATGTTAATTTAGTGAGAGAGAGTCGATTAGTTAGAGACAGCAATTGTTTCGATACTTCTGCAAGTGGCACTGAGGTCTATGCTTACTGTGTCCGGAAAGAAACCATTTGCCTAGCTGCTTGATCCACAGTTTTGCTCTCAGCTTTATGCAGGTGGCCCAGGGTGGGTATCAATTACGTACTGGCAAAGACTGGACAGATTGTTTGCATGTATCTTGACCTGAATGGCAGTAAACGCACCTGTCTGAAGAACGTCGCGGTATTGGCGTAATTATTTGCTGCACTACCTCGAATTTTGTAGGTCGAGTTTATGGTTTTTGACCCGTAAGTAGTCGGTGACATCAGTTGAGTCCTAAAGTCGGTTCTCTTGCTTCTGTTGAGTCTGTGCTGACAAGATTACTTCCTTTATCTGTCAGCATACGAACAAACGCTGTCTCAGTCGGCGTTTTCCGTAACACCGAAGTCCTCAAGACCCCCCCCCCCCCTAAAAACCACCTCCTGTCACAAGTCAGCTTGAAAGACGTCAGATTGAGACAAGAAAATCATTCGTGTGTATGACCAGAGGTTCGGATTTGATTTATAGTACTATAAAATTACAATTCTGTCTTCTTTACCTTTGTTCTTTCTTTCTGGTTGGGTTCCTGGATCGATTTTTGTGACTTGGTTTATACAAATGTGTATTCTGCGTTCTTGTTTCTGAAGCAGGATTTGCTGTATTAGAATTTGAAATTGAAGGTTATTGGGTCGAGAAGAACGTGTCTTTATGAGCGCTGAATTACAAGCAGGTCGTAGTCGTTCTTGCAATTGTCAGCAGTCTGCTGGCAAGATGTCAAAGTCCGGCTTGGGTTAGGCTTGTTGTAAATGAATCGAAGAAGGGGAAGATCACGTATCTCCGTAACTGCACTTAAACAAAGCCGATGTATTTGCCAAAAATAAAGTGAGTAGAAGTAGTAGTATTAGCAGCAGCAGCGTTAGTAGTAATTGTTGTTGTTGTTGTTGTCGTCGTCGTCTTTAAAGTGTTTGCCAGCAGCAAAGAGCCTATGATGGGCAAATACAGTGTGTGCCATTCAAAACGCAACTCAGCAATAATCACGAACAACGATACAAAAATTAAATCAGAACCAGATCCACCCCAACACCCAACATCGTCCTTGACACTCGAGTCGGGGTCACCCTGGTTGCTAGGCCGCTGCTCACTACACTTACGCAATAGCTGTGCCGGTGTGAACATGGTGTATTTACGAGCAAAATGTGTGTTTATTTCAGAGTTTATTCGAATAGACTACGAAGGATGGACGAATTTAAACACAATATTAAACAGACTGTTTTCAGCATTGGCAATAAACCTAAAAAAAGTATCGACACTGCAAAGGGTGATGCTCGTCTTCAAAATGGTGGTGGACATTTTCAACATCTGCTCTACAGATGTTCTGTGAATTCTTTCTAACAAACAAACATTTTAAAGAAGACTTGTTTTGTCTTGTTTTGATGTCATCGAAGCATTCAAATTGTGTTGCACCAAGCGTTGCATTTTTGAATGAAACCCCCTGGACTAACTAATAAACGTATTCACTAAACAAATACAAATGAAAACAAGCTAAACTAAAATGAAGTAATCTATACTCTAACATGTGTTTATAAAATGTTCTCAAAGGATTCGTTGTTTTGATGGTTATCGCCTTATGTCAGCAGTTTTTAGGTACCATTACTGCTTTAGGTAGAACTAATGAAGACAGAGAACAAGAAAGAAATGGGTTTTAAAAATTTTGTGTTTTTTGCGGTAAGTATTTACCTCTACAAACTTTACAGAGAAATATGAGAACTTTACGTTTTTAAATTACTCAGCTACATACAAGTACGTCGTCTGGGGTGACGTAGTCACGGTTCGTGGATGTTCTACGACTGACACGGATTTTTAATTTCACTTGTTACATTTTACGAGCTACTGGAGGCGCGTCGTTAATTAAATATGCGTGTGTTTATATGAGTGGTTGTTGTTGACTCTCCGTTCGAAGTAGTTTAATGAGATTCTAGCTTGTGTCCGTATGTTACCATTAGGGGCACATCAGAGACTAGAATATGACTTGACCTATTGAACGGTTCAGATCATCGAATTCAGAACCGTGGCTGTGTCTTATCTGCGCATCCCGTTAACAGTTGACCAATAAGTGAAGAGTGCGCTTTGCCCACACGGAAAGCTTGAGGTTGAGGAGGACATTGTCCGATACCCAGTACTGCTAGTTGAACTCGACTGCGTTGGTGATTGGATCAGTCAGTGATGGGCTGTTGCAGCAGTGGATCGGATGTAACTTCGGCAATGAAGTGTATAGAAGCGGATGTTTCATACATCTGTTTTATGTGAAGCGTGACCAAAAGTTGAATGTTTATTGTGATCGATTTATCCTACTGAGGAAAACAGTGGTGGAGATTTTATTTGTGTATCGCATGTTTTATTGTTTTTATCAAACAGAGATATTATAATTGTTGTGATATTAGAATTTGTAAATCGAAGTGACGCATTTACGCGACCACGTACCATAAACAACTAGCGAAACATTTTATTGTGAATTCGTGTCTGGTATAATTGTGCTGACAGTTGGATGTGCTTGTGTAGTGACGTGTTTTGTAGTTGTCACAAGAAGTATTCCTCTGACCCATTTTTTTAGTGATAAAGCGTTCACCTGAACAGTTGTAAACGCGAATACGTTCGTGTGAGTGAATATTCACTCAGCTACACACCTGCGCCAGGTTGGCTGCAGACAGCAGTGGGCGTAACAACTGTCTCACCTTTGTCAAGACATGGTGTTTGTAGCAGGTACTACACCCAGGCTCATTTGGTTCCGTGTCTGATTCTTATGATGAAACTTTGGCTTTTGGCAATTCTGGTCGCCAGTTGTTTCAGAAGGATTCGACCCCAACCTAAAATTTAGAATTGTACGTTATACACTATGTTCTGTAATAAACCGAAAACCAACTGTTACAGGGACATCATTTTCAGCGCTTCTTTTAATGAATGTAAATTGATTTTACTGTTTAATGGACCGATATTTGACTCGTATAGGGCGTGGTGGTGAGTCATGCAGTTCCTGCCAGGAGCCGGGAAGTGACAGTTGCGTTGCGGTTTACCAGTGAACGGACTGTAATGGGTGTACACCTCTGGAATTAGTATACTTGGATTGAGTTTTGTAATTTGTTGCCTTAAAACATTAGAGTGATTAATTAAACGAGGGTGAAATTGGTGGCGCATCAGAGTTGACTAATTCATAACCGCATTTTATTCGGAAGTCCTGAAGAAGACACCAAGAGACCTGCACGGGTGGGAGTATAATACTAAAATGAATGTTAAGGGCATTGGGTGTGAATGTGTGGATTGGATTTGAAGATGACTGTCTTCTAGGTTGTTGCGCCGTATAGTCTGGTAGAAGTTTACCGAAGTTTCAGAAGTCCTTGCTGTCTCCATCATCAGGGCAATGACTCATGATGTCGGTAAACTTCTGCCAGACTGCACGGCGCAACAACCTAGAAGACAGCCATCTTCAGACTCACCACCGTGAAATCCTCAAATCCTACATGGATTGTACTTGTCTGAGGATACGGACCAGTGGCGGGCTCTTGTGGGCACGGTAAAGAGCCTTCAGGTTCCATGAAAGACGCAATATTTTGACACGCTGAGCGTCATATTACTTTTCTAAGAAACGCGAGTTTGGTGTTTATCATTTCTGAAGTGTCTTAGAGATTATAGTTTTTTTGTGAGATTCTTATTAAATTTACTATAGATAAAGAAGCATGGCCGAGTATCGAAATTTTCCGTAATTTGTTGATAATTTTCACGTAACGTGAACTAGAAAGACGACTGTGTGCTCTGAGATAAGATAAAGTATTGACACTGAACTAGCCATCCCATTGCTTAGTAAAGCCACGCAGTTTCTGTTTGGTTAATAGTGAGGTAGTTTATTGCTGTGAACATTCTTGATGCCCTTGATAACACCACCATAATTTATTCTTAAGTTATCCTGACTCAGTGGTGTTTGGCGCAAAACCGCCACATCTCACTGCGTTGTCAACGCGCGTGATGAGCTTTCTTTCACAACTTGTGTAGATGAAATTCAACTGGGAATGAATTCTTTCGGATCTCATTTGTACGCCCTCTTTCTTGATTACCTTTACTCTTTCGTACCATTCCTCCGTCCCTCCTATTTTCTGTGTTCCTTTCATATTCATGCAGTACGGTCCATTGACGGCCTTTGGTCAATCTTCAGATTATGTTACCAGAGAGCGAATGTTCATTAACAGTCCCACATTTTAGTTAACCGTACTTGTATATTATTGTGGAATACATACGTTCTCGTTCTTAGAAGAAAATTAATTTTATTTTGTCGTATAAGAAAGTACATTTTCAAGTTCCATGAAATTAGTAGACATTTTTCTTTTCTTTTCAGACTGTAGTAGCGCCATTCCTCGACGGCGCCGACGTATTGACCATCCTTGCGATGTTGGTGTTATTTCCTTGAATAGTTTAGATACAGGGTTGCACCAGAAATCTTCTTTAGAACCTGCTGTTATGTCCCCGTCAAGTGTAAGCCCTATACGTTCCACAAAGTCTGAGGAACTTCCTCGTCGGTCTTCCCCTTTCAAGACTGTATCGAAAGTGTCGTCAGATTATAGCAGTCACTTTCTTCGTCCAACTCCCAGGCCTGCACCTGATTCAGTTTCTTCCTCACGATCCTCTGGCGATGAACATCGACAATCTCCCCCTAGTCGAGCTATACTTCGACTCACTCCCGATTCTGGCACTCATTTCCTGCAGGCCAGGAGAGGTGCAAGCTCTGGAATTGCAGCGAGTAAAGAACAGGTTTCTGCACGATTTGAAACCACTAAAACTCCCTTGGCATCTGTTGCTTTCGCTGGCAGGAACAAGATTGGGGATTCACCATCCAAGCTCAGAGGAAATGCTGCAATGAGGTAAGGTAACTTTTTATGAAGTCTGAACAGTAATTTGTGGAATCAAGGTTAATTTCTTAGCTTGCCTTGGTACTGGCTCCTGCATTGCATACACCTCACATCTGGGAAATATATGGAATCCATCTTGTGACTGGCTTACCTGATAGATGCTATTACTTCTTTGTCCATACCAATTCCATTTGCTCTTCAAAATTGATGCTATCTTCAAACATAGTGTCACCAGAAATTATATTTCTGATTCCTTTATTTATAGATAAGATGAGATTATGTTTGTCCTTTGTAATCTTGTCCTTCAGAAATGTTCACACTTGCTTGCAATTTCAACAGTGTGTAATAAATAGTATGAAAAAATGTATACATTTGTTATATTATTTGGCAATAATTTCTTTAAATTTTCCTTTCTCTTCCCAGCTTGATAATAGTATTTTGATTTTCCTGGCCAGTTTAAAATAGGTATATTTTATTCTTGTGTCGCGGAACGACACATATCCCCAATGGTATCACACACAGACAGGCCTAACTAATAATTTACAATTAAATAAAAGTTTTGTAACATAATGTTAATAGGCCTATTGATGCCTTGAAGGATGTGCCTTTGGTTTGTAATGATTGCATTGTTTCATTCTCTTTAGTGCATACAATGGTGGCAGTGGCGTCGAGCCAGATGGAAGATCAGACCGAGTGTCTCAGAAGGTGGATAAATTGATGGCCCTCACATTAGAGACGGTGGCACGTCTTGACAAACTAACCTGTATGTCCCCAACTTCTTCGAAAATGTGTGGTGTTAGGGATAATGTGGGCATTAGTACAGACCAAATGTGTAGAGATACTTATGCTCAGCATGAAAGTGGCCTTGGAGAATGTTCTCCCACATCCAGTAAAATTACCAATCACAAGACTTTCAGCAAGATTGATATTTATCATAATGCAGATTTTTTGGTAAAAGATACGAAGACCCCGAATACTAAGGGTGATAGTTTCAGTCAATTAGGTGAGCCCCATTTACCTTACAGCAACGTGAATTCCTCAAATTCGTCTCAGTTGGAGAATGGTTCTGGTGAAGAGTGTACAAGACCATGGATCGGCTCTCCTAGTAAGCAGCCGTCATCAATACTGAAGAAAAAATCAGTTGATGAGTCATACCCATTGATAATTTCTTCAGGTGTTTCTCAGCAGATGCCAGTTTCGATCTTGAAACGTAAAACTTCACAGGACGAAGCCGGGGCGGTAAGTGCAGGAAACTCTACACCCCCACCTCCTGTAACATTCTCTCCATCAGTTCTTGAACAGACGGGAAGTAGCAGTAAACGTCAGGGTATCCTCAAGAAGAGAAGCAGTCTTGATGAATCTGAAGTGCTACGGAGGAGAAGTTGCTCCCCAGATATGGTACGATGGGATTCTGGATCATCAGAATTTCGTCCAATCCTAAAGAATCAACGAAGATCTTCTATGGAAGAATTAGTTCGAAGAACTCAGTCACCTGACCCACAACCACAGTCAATTTTGAAAAGAAGAACAAGCCGTGATGATGAAGTTGAGGAACGGACCTCCGGTTCACCTGAACCTCAGGGAATTCTGAAACGAAAATCTGCTCCAAGTAGCAACAGCAGCAGTAGCAGTACGTCTCCACATGTTTCCATAGCTGCATCTGTTATCATGAATGTGGCAGGACTGGATGTAGGAACTGATGTTTCACCACTTGACGCCACCCTGGAACATGTGCGTCCTATACTTAAGAAGAAAAGTAGCTCTGAAGATAACGCGACGGCCGATTCATCATCAACCGAGGCACCAAAACCAATACTGAAGAAGAAACCAAGTTCAGAGTTTGATGATCTGGAAGAAAGACCGATGAAACCAATTCTGAAATCTTCCAGAAAATCATCCCAAGAAGAACAAACAAACTTGGAAACCGCATTACTAGATTCTCCTGTGAAGTGTGTCATCCTGAGAAGTCGCAGTGCTGGAGGTTCTGATTCAGCTTCTGGTTCTGAATGTGAAGCAGTGAAACCCATTCTGAAGCAGCCAGGCAGCGACAGATCCTCAAGCGAGAGATCGGCATCTCCCAGGCATAGATTGTCATTCTGCAATGATAAGGGGCAGCAGGTAATCAAAGCAGAAAGATGCGATTTTGTGGGACCTGGAATAGGAAATGACGAATCCAGAAGTGGTAGCCCCAAAAAGGAAGAAGTTGTGCTTAAAAGGAGGTTAAAGTATTCTTCTGTAACAAAATCAGATTCTCCATCATCCATGGATAATGAGCTGAGTGCCATCTTAAATAAGAGACGATCTTTTGAAGTTACTACAGAAATGGCTTCTGAATTCACTCAGCTGAGACAGTCACCAGTCTTGATGGAGACAGCATGCAGTCAGCCACGCCCAGTATCTGTGGCTGAGCGAATTTTGAATATGGAGAGCTTCTTGGGTCAGGAAAACAGCAGTGGCAGACAAACTGGAGCTGTACCCAAGAGACCTGGTTCATTGAGAGCTACAAGAGACAGGGAGAGGTTTCATACTCAGCCCATCACTCTGCATGAGCTCAAAGCATCAACAGGGTAAGTTTTAAATGACGAATATCTAACCACATATTTTGCTCAGTGGAATGTCAGAATTGGTATGCAGTTTTGAGCACATTCATTATTATTTGGTTATATCAGCAGATCATTTATTACTGAAGTGAGCTGGTGGTCTCAGGGTAAGATACTGAGTTTTTGTCAAATTAGGTCATATTTTTTATTACGAATAATCAAATATGGTAAAAAATATTTATTTTGTTTTAAAACTGGAGAGATGAAAAATTCATATCATTTTAGTCGGAAAACCCGAAGGCAGAGACTAATTTTGGAACCCATGTAGATGAGAGGATAATATTAAAATGAAACTTAAAATTGTGTGGGGCTGTGAAATGTATGTATCTGGCTCTGGACAAGGAACAGTGGCTCGCTTTTGTGAGCATGGTAATGAATGTTTCGGTTCCATAAATAACGGGGAATTATTCTATTAAGTGAGCGAAATTTTTTTTTCGAAGGACTCTACCATATTTTTTACCTAAGTTTGTTAAAAATTAAAGTTTTTATCCAGAATTTATTGTTTCAAAATCCTCCACCGAATCCAGACTTTGGTGAAGTAGTTCCTACCTGCGTTTCTTGTTATATACATAGTAGTCTGAGTCACGTACTTTTATGAATCATCAAGGGACCTGCTTAAGGTATTCATCCTGCCCGAATGAGTCAACGAAAGTGATGGCATCAGTTTCGGTCCTAGAAGTTGAATGACTCTTCCTGAACTTTTGCGAGTAGAAGACAAATGGTCGCTTTCACATGTGCAAATTTACGTGAAGTTGAGATATAAGACCGTTTCTGACTCTTGGGATTAAATCGATCTATCTCAGTCTCCATCACAGAGAGAGAATGCCCAAACGGAGTAGTCAGTTGATGTATTAATGGGCAATACACAATTCCGTCAAATTTCCACCACACACATTTGAAGATTTTCGTATTCTCCACGTATTTGGATCACCACACTGGTTCTAAAATAGCATGGCATGTTCTGTGTGATCGTTGATGCTGTGTATTGAAAATGACTAGCATAAACTAAGCGCATCCTGTTGAACACTTAAAGGTTTGACCCAATTTTAAATGTGATGTGGAACATGCCTACTGACTGCCGAGTATTTTAAAGTTATTGTATCGCTCGTTGATTATTTTGCAAATTTGGAGTTTAAAGTGTTTTCGTCATTGTACATAAAATGAACATCGTCTTAGACCCGGAAATCGTTCCAGACCTGTGGCAAAATTCGTTCTTCTTATCACCTGGCGGGCCGCAGTTTCTATATGAATGTACTTCGTTGGAACGTCATAGCATTTATTAAATATGCTGCCAAATGAGGCCTACAGTTGCAAACAAGTTTTCATATTGCTGAATTTTTATTGCTTGAGCATTATTTCAGTATCAACTTTTATTTCTGTTGTTGTGGTTCTCTGTTTGAATTGGACATTCGTGAAAGTCACACACGTGATAAGGCTCTGTATTGACCTGTACCCCATATACTCCGTATGTTTCTTCGAGCCTTTCCTCTAGTTTGGGAGGAGCCGACCTAGACATAGAATATCACTGGAAGATTATTACGTTTTGATTTAAATTTCGGATGAAATGGTGCCCAGAAATTTAACCTGATGTTACTAGACATGTTCGATTCAAACGTAATAGGTACTTCGAACTTTGTTTTCGTATGATGGGCTCGTAAAGGAAATTATCGCCATACGCTGGCTACACGGTGACTAATGCTATGGTAAGTAATGCGATAACAAACCGGAACTGCCTTCTGCCGTGTTGCTAGTTGCTACGTTTAGCTTTGAGGTGTAGTATTTGTGTGAGATTGTCCAGTATACTACTTAGTGAACATCGCTGTGTTTCGTTCTTTGTTCATCGAACATTCCTAAAGGATGGCCTCTTCTGAGTGTGAGGAATTACACGATCTGCTCGGATATCTTCTGAGAAGGAAGTATGTATGCATTTATTTATTTATTTATTATTGTTGTGTACGCCCTCTGCGACATTTCAGATTATGCTAACTTTTAAGACTATGGTTTGTTGGCTCTCCCCTTAACCAATCCGGAGAAAGACCTTTTGTTAGCTTTTTCGCGACTCCGTAAGAATCACGTTCGAAGCTCCCTTTCCTGCCTTAGGGGCCTTCTTTTCAAACCGCAGTTTGAGGTCTGGCTACAGTCGTAAAGGACCCACTTTACATGTAATTACTATAATAATAATAATTCTTTTTGTTTGGCCTAAGATTTGCAGTCGTTGGTGAATGATACTGAATTGTCCTGTCGCGTGATGTATATTTAAAAGAAGTTGGAAACTTCTGGTTCATTACTGTACTTCTGGCAAGTTTACAGCCATGTATTTTCCCTGAAGCCGTAAGTCATCATTTTGTTTTGTATAGATCAGTTAGACACTTTAGTACAGCGATCATTTTTAGAAATTCCACAATCGTTTTCTGTTCTACATGTGGCCCATTTGTCATGTTTCAGTTTGTGGGACAGTTGCCAGAAATATAGGAAAATCCACAGACTATACACATAAGACATTTCCTGGCCAATATACATCTGGTGGTTTGTTTCACGTGTAGTCGTGTTGTTGATGAAACGCGTTTGCTGCCAAGTCTAAGTTTAACCGACATAGAACAGAGTTCATGCTTCAGCAAATCAACACTTCGGCGCAGTCGGGATATCGTCCTGCGAATTTTCAGGTCAGATGGTTTGCAAACGGGACACACAGAAGGCGTCTTAATGCTCTTCTAGGCGGTGGCCATATTTTCCTTCATATCTGTGATTTTTAGATCTCCTTGAAGTGAATGACATAGTCGGTGAAGCTTTGAAGACATTTTTATGGTCAGTATTTACTAAAAATTATGGTTTGCTAAGGAAAGAAAAGTCTTGCTTTTTGCATTTCGGAGTGTCATTATGTGCTGTGTTCTGGCTTTTGTGAGATGGGTTGACGGATGTCACACCATCTGCCTACTTATGCTGATTGTTGTTGTCTTTTTCAAGTTGAAGAGAATTGGGGACGGAGGATCTGTCAGATTCTGCAAACACGTGATTTCTCCAAACGTCTACATGTTTTAAAATAGATTCGATTGTAATGGCAGAAAATAACCTGTGGAGTCAATTATTAACAGTAGTTACCAGAAGACTGTTGTCGATTTAACACTCTCATTTTAGTAGTCGATACCTTCGATGTTTCATTATTGCAGTAAGACTGAAACTGGACTTAACCACGAGATACCGTGTGAAAGCGAGGTATAAAACGATAGTATCCTGCATGAAATAGTCCTATTTTCTACTTTCGTGTTCGACTGTTAGGCTTAGTACAACCTGCTTTATGACCATATTGTAATCTGTTTTGCCCTTGGTCTCATTAATGTTGCCTTTTTGCCCCAGACTTACGTGACAATTTACTCTTTCTTCAGTTATTTATTTATAGTTTATGTAAGACGCTTTCTTCACTAGCTCAAACTACATCGCAGAATGAGAGGATGTTAGTTAATGGTGAATATTAACGAATTGGAATTGACAGTCGTGGCCTAATTTAAGGCATTTTCTAAGGAACACCACAAAAACCTGTCAGGAAAGCCTGTCTTCGGGTCAAGATTTGATCACGAGGCAGGAGTGCTAACCATTATACTACGAGTTAGACGTGTCTCTTACGTAAAACATGATAATTTAAATGTGTCAGTTTTATATGCTATTATAGATTACCATGTTCTTTCCTTGCTGTGTTGTAAGTTGGTCTGTGCCTTATTATTAGACATTCCTATAACACAGTCCTTCATATATTTCTTTTCCACGAGCACAGAGCTACACAGAATGGCTTTGTTGCCTTTCAGTAAGGCTTTCTGTATTCATCTTAGACGCTAAGACTTTTGAGTGTTTCTGTATCCTTACGGACACAGGAAGAAGTGAGTGCTAAAAGAAACTTTCAGCGATTTAAAATTACTGACAACTTCACTGCAGTAGAATTTTAAGAATCTTTTCTTTGTTCCATTAACAGGCTTGAGTCTGTTCGCGCTTTCCAGAAAGATATTCTAGGCAAGAAGCAAGATAGCGGTGTGGCGCAGAAGGACCCACATTCGTCAATCGCCGTCGATGTGTCTGCAGAAACACCATTAGAGGTTTCAACACTCCAGTCCCATAGCCTTTCTGAAGTTGTGCATGGTAAGAATGATCTTGGCGACTGTGTGAACTTTACTTCACCTCCCCGGACACCAAAGATGGATCTGAGGGCTCATAATTCGCCTCGTAAATCATTGTCTCGTGATTCGACCACGAAGAACGACGAGGCTGGGTGTCAGGAAGATGACGGTCCAAAGGAAACTGGCTTTGTTGAAGATTCTGACTGTTTGCATCAACTGAGTAAGAGTAACAGTGTAGTTGCAAGGGTGTCGATGTTTGCACAGCTGGAAGAAGATATGAAGAGAGCTGCTAAAGAAGCGAAATCTAAGAAGTTGTCCAAGAGGTCAAATAGGAGTGCGGCACGTCGAGAGGATTTGCCGCAGACTGGTAACAGGTTCGCCACCCAGCCTGTTACCATGGGAGAGGTCCAGGAGGCTGTGAGGTGTGCCATCAATCGTGACATAGACTCCGCCCTGACAGGTAAGTCGTTCAGATGCTTTTATTTTTCGTGTTTCAAAGTGTTAGCCGGGTCAACACGGTTAACATGAACGCTCTGCAAGATAGAATATTTAGTTAACATGCATTCCAAGTATCATACAACTTTTTAGATAGTATACGTACGTGTTTTTCCCTTGCCGGGAATGCACTCCTCCGAATGCATGACATCAGTAAGCATATGTTGGCTGTGGTGTATTTCTTTTTCATGTCAGTCTTTAATGCACTCCCATTTTCTACGTGTATATACAATTGAATGGTATGCTTTTATCCTATAGTAATAATACTGTCTGTCATGAATTGTATCGGAAGTATGTTGGTCTGCGTTGTGATGAAAGTGAAGCAGGCTTAATTACAGACACTTAAGAACAAGCACAAAATTACATACATTTTGGTTTCTGAGATATATTCTACGCACGTTTAATAACGTTGTACATTGTTTTCACTTCTTGAAATTCTTGCTTATAGAATTTTTTCCGTTGCTGTAATGCAGCAGTTCGAGGGATTTTCAGCTATATTGTCTGACGGTATTTTCGTGTTCTGTGTTCAATTTTCGTCTCACAGAAAATCAAACAAAACCTGGCTTTAGATTAATTGGTTTCAAGAATGACGTAGCCTGGCTGTAGTTTATGAGTAAATTGTTATAAGTTTGGCGTTTGTTGCTGATAGGCGAGTAGATAAATTTCTGTGGGGTTTGTTAAAACGCTATAGTTATTCAGCAGTTAAGTTACTGAAAATGTGTCGTTGTGATTTCCGTTAAGCAGAACATGCATATTGCGGCTTTTTTTTCTTGTATAACCTTCAAAGTTTCATAGTTGTTTCGACACTTCTGTTGCTGGCTAAGCAATGTGTGCCAGTTCATGTCAGTAGAACGTGTATAACCTTCACAAAGTTTCACTGATATTACCATCACAGTTATCGTTAGCACGGTTAAAACGTTAACTAACTTGACGTAAAGTCTAAATTAGAAGTCTTGTATTTTTCCTGCAAAGGGTATTTGTAGCTCTGATTAATATTGTTCTGGACACACAGTGTAGTCTAGTAAGAACAGAATTGCTGTTTCATGACGCCATATCAATACGCGTGTCATAATGGAAGTAATTTATAAGTCGTTGGGCAAATATCTTACTATAAATTGTTAATATGTTTTCGAAATTAACATGTTCCCTAAGATTTGTCCAAATGGGGTTTCATTTCTCGGAAGAAAGTCGTATTTCAGCGCAGTTAGCGGTACTTTTATTGTATTTCGTTTTAACTTTTCCATTTGATAGGAATTGATATTGTTTGACTTGATGTAAGCGGGTTCCTCGAAGTACCATAAAGGCGTTACAAAGTAAAGCAATTATTAAATGTTCGATTCCGAAATTTTCGCGCATTAAGTAACCGTCGCACATTTTATGATGTGGTTTTCTCGAACTGTCGCATTTCGTGGCGTTAAAATTCTTTTGGAATTGTGGCATGTTGTAATGAACATTATTTTGAATGTTACTTTTTGTTATTCTGTCTGTAGTAGTGGGTGGTATTTACGGAATGCAATTTTTGTATTTTATTTCCCTCTTCCTTATTTCTGTTTGTGCATGACTTCTTCAACACGTTTGAACCTTCTCTGTACTCCATACCACGGTGGTTGGCTCAGCTTCGGAAGGTAAACAGAAGCCCGATGACGATGATGAACCATCCCAGTTGAGTTTGGCGGATCGAGTTAGGCTGTTCAACCAGAAGATCCAAGACGATTCGAGAACACCGGGTGTAGAGAAACTGCCACCCCCAACGAGGAAGCGACAGGTCCAGACCTCACGCTTCAAGACACAACCTGTCACTACGGAAGAAGTTGAAACTGCTGCACGGAGGATTTCGCCTTTAGCGGCCAGCCTTGCCAAACCCCCGGACCCAAAAGTTCTAGGTGCGACTGTAGGTTTAATCATGTGGCCATCTCCTTGAAATGGTTACGGCCAAATTCAATTTTAGGGCTGAAAAACGTAACGGCTGCTGAGGAACTTAATTACATTACGTCGTATAATAATATAAGGAAATTTCTTAGGGGCGGTGACTGAGTCAACACATTTTTATGATGTAATTAATCTCCGAACGTCGCCATTGAGTGGTCAGAACTGCGGAAAGTACCGAAGGCCGGCCATCCTGACTGAAGTTTACAGTCCCTTCAGGCTAATGATTTTTTTTCCCCCAGGATGAGACAGGCGTTTCTTGCTTTATACTTCCCAGTGCACTATTCATAATCTTTTATGTACTAATATCGTGTCACACCACAAAACCGGAACGTAACTCGAGTATTCGGATGGTCAGCGTACTGCATTGCAGATCATATGGGTTTAAATATGGTGGCGTGGTGAAGTAATTGAACTGCGAATCAGAGAATGTTCCTCTTGGCGTTTATAATGTGAAGACCTATTTGGATTAGGGGCAGAACGCGAAGTCTGTGATTTAGACACGCTTTCGACGGGATATACAAGCTGTGTCGAAATGAAAGTAAGTCTCCGTCCGTCATTCCATGTTTACGCGCAGCTCGATACATGCCTTCCATTGCCAAAGTCTATTCCTGTTGATTCGCTCATTGCAAGCGCTGAAGTCACGGCCGCACTTTGCGGGAAATTACAAGTTGCAGAATTGCAAGTCATGCCATTTTGTGGCCTGTATATCATAGTATGCATAAACACGTTTTTTTTTCGTACTTTTCATTTGTATTCAGGTTCTGCACGAGTCATCAAGTAGGCCTATAGCTGTCGTATAATCGGGCTTTAGTTGTCGATTATCAGATTTAATTATGCTGTCTGGCTTATGTCAGCTTAAATTCCTGGAAAACTGGATGTTTATAAGTAATTCGTAGATGTACAGCCCATAACACTTCACTAGATGAAACCCTGAAAGTAGGTGACTCAACGTAAATTATCTGAGCTAGATTCGATACTTGTGGCATTCTGTAAAGAGAAAATTTGTTCTGTAACATTTCCTGACTGGCAGTCTGCGTAGCATATCATATAAAATGTTTTTCTTTAATTTATGCATGCAGAGCATGTGGTGAAATTCATAAATTATGCTCAAAATTAAAAGTAATAAAAAGGAATATTCTTCTTCTGTTTGTGCAGGCGGAATGTCAGCAAGAGCTGCTCGAGAGAAGATGTATGAGCACGCATCTGTGATATTGGCTAAGTCGAGTTCATCATCTCTGCTGTATCATGAAAAGAGCCTCGGCGTTGACAGTACGGCTCACAAGAGCGGACAAATTGAACTGGACTTGAAACCTAAAGGCAAGAAAAAATATTCTGGTATGAAGAGATGTTATATTGTTGCATTTTTATCAGGAACGGTACAAATACTGTACATGTTTAGTATTAAGAATATCCTTCAAATTGTACCATCTGTACAAAGTCAAATTTTCCATGTATGTTTTTTGTATGGTGGGGTATAATGTAATAATTGTTTCTACATATCTTTAGGTGAAAATAACCGTGTTCCATTTTTGTTATCCTACTAGTAAGTTACATGTATATCTGCTGGTGTCTCACCTTTGTTTCAACTATAGATATCAATATTACAGACATTTATTGACTGATTTTTGTGAAATGTTGTATGAGCTCCATCTCCTCATCTGGGTACTCTTTATCTCTGTCATTAATATTATCAGCGTGGCAGCTGTACGAACTTGTAGAAGCGACATTAGCTGTTGCTTTGTATGGTTGTAAATCATATGTGAAGATACA